GAGGGGGTGGGGCGGGAAAGGAGGTTACATCATTCAGTCATCTGGTTTTGCTTTAACATCCACCCAAAGAGTAACAACTTTACCACATAACAGCACTAAATCCCATCATTCTGCAATTCCTATAACCACCACAGCCTTTTTTATTATGCTGTTCAATTTTCCATTCAGGACTATGCTGTGTTTGAGTCATCCCACAGGCTTCTATCTTAAAACTTCTCAAAACACTGTACTTAGTAATGCTTCTAGTTGCATTACCACAACCACGGCTATTTCTGTTACGTCTCTGCCCCAGAACAGCCTGGGCAGCTGTAGCGGAGCAGTGCAGTTGCCATCAGGACCAAAGTCAGCAACTTCAACCATCAGACCATGGCCACACCAGGATTGCTGGTGTACTTAACAACAGATTTTTTGCTCCGGTCAAAAAGACATTACATAGAGAAGGTTACAATGCAGCATTATAGCAATTCTCCCTTCCCACTCATTTATCAGTCTAAATAAAGAGGGTATCAGGGCTACTAAGCTAAAATGTAAAGTTAAAATCACAGATACCAACTACGAAAGCTGTTAGTGTTAAAGTATTTATTTAGACTTGTTTCAGGACTTCTTTTTTTTTTTTTAAATTAAAAAACACCCTAGATTTAAACCCATCTCATGCACATTGCTGGATCTCTGTATTAGTGTGCAGAAGCTTACAGAGCAATGGCCTACTGCTATTGTAAATTGTTCAGTAACCTGAAGGAATGGATAATTTCCACCCAATGCCATTGCAGTGAAGAATAATATTTCTCCTGTTGGCATTCTGAATTCCACCGCCTTCTACCAATACTGCAACTCTCTAAAAACGCTGGAAATGATGGCAAAGACAAAAGCAGCACTCACCGTTCAGCAAGGATTTCTAATGGGGGTTTTCCTTGAGCCCAGCTCCGCACCATCCATGCGGTATCGAAAGCAGCTAAGAAGCCTCTTGCACAACCAGTACCCATTGGCCAGAAGGGCTGCAAGAAGCATTTACATTTTAATTCCTTGTATTTCCTAAGGTCTGACTACGACATTAACTTGCAATGTGAATTTGGAGTCTAGGGTTTCTACTGTCTTAGAAAAGTAGCCCAGAAAGAGTTAAAACACAACAGAGCCAACTCTTGCAGTTTTTAGACACTCTCCTCCAAGTCTTAGGTAATGAAAAAGACTGCTTTGACTCTTTATTTTTTTAACTTCTATATTTTAAAACAAATTTCTTAACCTCAAAAAGTAAAGGCTGAGGAAAAAAGAGGGGAGGGGAGGAAGAGACTCACTACTCAAGAATTAGTCAAGGAAAAAAAGGGAAAAAAGATGCCTTCCCTTTCATCTCCTAATTTTGCTTTGGACTGATCTTTTCAAACACTTCATGCTGTCAGCATGAGCTTAAAAAAAAATTAATAGCAACATACATTCTTCACTTCAGAAAGAGAAAAAGAGAACATATTAAGGCAAAGAGACTGCAATAAAATTTTGGACCAAGTTTTTCTCTATGATGGAATTCAGGAAAATTATGCCATGCACCCAAGCTGAGGACACACAGCTCACAGTTTTCAGACAGAAATACAACTTGCATAAAGCAAAACAGGACCTCAGCCAGAGACTGCCAGCCAAGAATTAGTTATGATATAAACTATGGCAATAAAAAAAGAAAAAAGGAGAAAAAAATCTATTACAAAGAAGGTACCATTGTTTCAGGACATGTAAGAGAGGACAGTTTGTTTTGGAGGGTAGATTGAATGGCTGGATTAAGGGGAAGGGAAAAAAAAAAGGCTACTTGGAAGACATTCCAAGATATACCTCAAGCAAACTATCTCCAACAAGCGCCACCAGGAGCTGATGTCTGTGCCTCTCTCTCACTAATGCAGCATTTTCAGATGCATACATGGAAGTAAAATCAAACATTGCTACATCTGGTTGCCCATAGTGATTAATTGCAAAATCCAAGGAAGGCAGCTGGTAATTGGTTGCAAAGTCAGCAGCTTCTCTGGCGTAGGACAGCAAATTGCTCTGGTTCACATTTTCCCCACAGAGGAGCAACTCAGTATCAATATAGTCCTGCAAGGAGAGAAGCATGTAGATACATTAGATACTCCAACCACCCTCTCTGGATTGGAACGTTGCAGTCTCATGGCGTGAGTGGCGACCACACATGTCACAGCATAAAGAACCAAGTGAGATCTATCATCTTCTCCAAAAAGTTAATACACAAAGATAAGTCACTGTTCTACCCCAAACAGGAACTCTCTATGCCAACAGCGAATAAGCAGCTTTATTTGCAACAGAGTATTATAGTGCCTCCCAGTTCCTCGGTTATGTGTTACTTTCATAACATTACTCCCTCCCATCAAAAGACGTTATCATCATCACGACAATGCTTTTTTGTATGCGTGCACCCCACATCTGAAACCACACGAGAGCAGAAATACTGGCACACTGATGACATACCGTGCGGGTCTCACGCTGAAGGTTTGGCTTAACATCTCAGTAACAACACATTCAAACTTGGATCGTAGAAGCTTTTCTGTTCTGTTTTGGGCTGGGTTTGTTTTTTGGCCAGTGTGATGAAGGACCCTGCCTTTACAGGTCATCCTACTTAAAGTCAGTGATTATTAATAAGGCAGTTTCTATTTACAGCTTAATCGTGGATGAGACCCCTAATCACAGGGATGATACCACAGAACTGCTATTAGCCCAGTTGTTTTAGACAGACAGGGTTTTTTTTTTTTTTCCACTCAGACCCGAGCAGGTCAGGAAAACAGCTTTGACAGGCCACAGCTGCTGCTCCTCTTCTCCAAACTCCCCACAGATCTCCTGGGACCCCTCCACCCACAAGCACCAGCCCCTCAACCCCAGGGCCCACCTCCCACTCCCCCCCACTGCTGGGGGCTGCCACCCTTCCCCTCTCCCACCCCAGCTAGGCAAGGCCAGCTGGCAGCCCCAGTCCTCCAAAAGCGCAGGAAATCGTGGCACTGAGCTAAGTGGTCCCATCAGAAAGCCAAGAAGCCTTCTGATAGCTCCCCACAAGCACTTCCTTCGGGAAATTATACTCGACTGTTTTGGCACCATCTTACTTTGCAAGAAAAATTGACCTCTCTTGGGTTTCCAGGAAAAGAAATTTAAATGGTGCCAAAACACTTTCTAGAAACGAAAGAAAACAAACCCCCACATCTTAGAGCAGGAGGAGGAAAAAGAAAGAAAAAAAAAGAAAAAGAAAAAAGGCCTCAAATTCCCAAGTACCTCTGAAAGTTCAGGCCATTGTGTTCATAGCCTCCTGCTATCATGTTTCATCCACTTTAGAGAATTTGCAATTTAGCCTGGGGTAGGTTTTAATACTGCCTTATTTGCCTGATAAAACTGGACATAGCTGTTCTAAGTTAATCTTTAAATAAATGAGGTTTTTATTTTCTGGTGTGATGACCACACCACCTGTTTCCAAGGTGGGTCAAGATCTTATTTTGGCCAGTTTCAGAACTGACAAGTTTAGGAAGTATTGTTTTCAGTTCTCTACAGAAACTTTGTGCTGACTGGAGGGAAAAATGAAAAAAGAAAAAAAAAAAGTAGAGTAACTTCTAAATGATCTGAGCTTTAATGAAGTGATCTAGTAAGTCTATAAACACCCTCTGTAACATGCAACAACATTTATGCAGATGTTCACACTTATTCTGTGCCAAGTAAATAAAATAGGGTTTTAGCTAGCATTTTTACATACATTAATAATCACTCCTTTGTCCAGAAGACTCTGCTTTTTTGCTGTCATCACAAAATAATGAGTGCTATCTTTATAGTAAACAATATTCTCCAGGTCAATTCCTGAAAAGAGATAATACATTTGTTATGAAGTACAGTGCATTGTCTGTGTCATTTGTTATGAAGTACAGTGCATTGTCTGCGTCATTTACTAGCCACATGTGATTTTCCTTCTTAGGATACATTCACTTTCCCATCTGCAATGAAGCATTACTGGACAAGATGCTCTAGAACAAAACAAATCAAGAAAGAAGATTGGCTTTACCCCACAAGAGTTTGTCTTGGCATAATTTAAAGTTATTTAGCATCCTTTTAAGGAATAGCCAGTTAACTACAGCCTTAACAACCTTCTGAGGTAGCAAAGGGGAGCCAAGGGAGCAAAGTGGTTTTTAAGTTGCTAGAGGTCTGGCGTTGGGTCTAACCAGGAGTTTTGGTCTCAGTAATAATAATTAAAAAAAAAAAAAAAAAAAAAAAAAAAGCTGCAAATCAAAAATGGAATTGCTTGTACTGACAGTGGATGCAACTATTCCGAGACCCCTTTTCATACAGATGTATTTCACAGTTTACATTTTAGGCATTTATGGCAGATTCCTGGCTAGTTCTTTTCAGTTTATCAAAAGCACATCAAAAAGCAAGAATAAACTCCTCCCAGAAGGGCAGAGCCTTTTTCATAGGGTTTAAGCTGTTCAGTATGTGATACAAACAAAACAAACCAAGTCTTAAGGGAAATGTCTGGGCACTGAAAATGCTCCTCTAAATCTGTTCGACATAGCAGACATTTTTACAGTTGAGAAAAATTTAAACATTAAACTGTGATGTAGCAACACCCAAGCTAAAAAAAAAAAAAAAATCCCCACTGTACCATAGACACCTCCATTTGCAAGATTCTGACACATCATGACAGCATTTTATCACTCAGTGTTTTTTGATACAATATATTTAAATTGATGTTAACAGGAATAGGAGGGTGGCCTTGCACATAAAGGGTTCCTCTACTGCCTCTTGTATTTGGTTGTGGAAAAAAAATGAGGATGCACCCACCCGTTTCCTCTTTAAGGTCCTGGAAGAACTTCTGATTGAAGATGAAAGCAACACCACTAATTTCTTCTACCTTGGCTTCTGCAGTTGTATTTCTGTTTATAAAATTGGCAGTGATAGCTATAGCCAGCTTTCCACGGAACTCCTTCCTCCTGAAACCTGGTAAGCAAAGAAAAGGATTAAAAACCCTGGAAATGTCACACTGAACTTTCAGGAAGGGTCAGCTGAAGGCAGCTCGGTCTCTTTCCTATGTCTAGTCCTACACTTCATTAAACAACACACCATCAGCAGATTCCATCATTCCTCCAAAATTCCCTTGAATGCAAAGAGTCTTTTCTCCCCACTTCCAGCTGCAAGACTGGAGCTGTACTGCATTCAAGATAGTGTCTCACTTTAAAAAAAAAAAAAAAAAAAAAAAAGGTTTTGAGGGGAACTATGGAAAGAAGTTGAACATGGGAAGAAGTTAAGGACAAATGATGACTAAAGAAAAACAGACTGGAAATAGAGCAGATGAAATTTAATGGAGGGAAATATTTTTAACATGCTAATGAGAAAACATGCAAGAGATCAGCAGTCAAAAGCAGCAGAGAGAGATCTGAAAAATAGAAACCTCTATAACAGTGCTTAGGTGCACACTACCAGCTAATGAGGTTTTTCAAAGATATTAGGGGTTGAAAAATATCCAGTGGCTTACTGTTATATTTCCAAGGTGAGACTGACTGCAAAGTCACTAGCTTCCTCTTTTCACAAAAAAAGCCTGCTAAGCCACCCTCTTGCAATCACACATTTAAGTTTTTCCCTCTGCATGTTCCCCTTATCTGTAAGTAAATTCTGAAGTAGGACAGAGGGTCCTTAGAGTATTTTAAGCCAGCTAAAGATGACTTTTCAGAGAATACATGTATTTTCTAAGAAGAAATCAGCCAGCTATGACTTTTTGCATCTCTGCTTCTTGATGCGCTCTCGTTATTTCACTGGGATAAATATAATATGACAATACCAGCTTCCACTTGTAAACAATCTTCAGTATACCAAATATTCCCTTAGATCCTGGTACTACGATAACCATGAACTTCTCAATAGAGCCTGCAGCTGTGGTAAGAATAATTTCATTTTGCCGATACATGACTAATTAAACAGTCTTTTATGGGGGATATCTAGACAACAGTGTGGGGAATATTCTAATAGAGCATTATAAGGACTTAACTCTAAGCATACTGTGGTTGGCAGATATAAACAGCCAAACTATGAAGCTAATAAAAAACCAAAATGCTGTACTTAGTGAACTGAAAAAAACATGGATATAATTAAAGCTACAAGGGGAATGTATAATTAACAGGTTTGCTCATGTGATATGGGACCAGCTTAGCTAGTGTCTTGCTAAGAAAGGCCAGGTGGTCTGAATTCTCAGCAATAGCTCAAGTTTATGAAGCAGTTCCCCCCATCTTCCTGTGTGTCCTTCCCCACCCCGCCCCGAGTTACTTATTATTTTTTGGTATTGTTTCCAGAGTAACTGCTTCTAAAATTAAATCACCTCTATAAAAAGAGTGATACCTCTGATGCCTTCATTAAATACCTGGCAGTTCACATTTTGGTCATTACTTCAAACACATAGTGCAAATTTACGGCACAATAGCAAAGGCTGTGTAATTCCTGATATGTATCTTGTCAGCCTCCTTAAAGTTAAATCATCACACAATTACTTAACCTTGAAGCAAGCCCAGTGGCATCATGATGCATTTTAGAGGCAACGCAGATCCATAGTGCTGAGAATCAGTAATGACATTAAATGTCTTTATTTTGAGCTAAAACTTAACAACAAAAGCGGAAGATGCCATGTAAAAAAATAGTTTCTACACAGACTTCAGTGGATTGAAAGGTAGCCTGTTGCTTTGTCTTCTCTGACTTTCAGGCTTTCCAAAACACCCTAAAGACCATTAATAAGGCTAAAAGCACACAGCCACCTACCTTCTAATGTGTTCCTGCGGCCATCTGCACCAATAATAACATCAAATTCATACTCTGACAAAGGGTGATCCACAGGGAGAAATTCAGCCCTCCAACCTATCTCTAAAAACACAAAGAATAATATTTATTCATTCTTCAATAATACAATGGAGAAGTGCTTTCAGACTCTGAAGAAAGGGCATTAAGATAAATGGCCCGTTTCTCATTCAGAGCTGAATTCTGCCTCAGTTTGACACAGGGAAATTCTGCTGCAGTCAAAGCTATGTTCAGGCTGTATCAGCAAGATGTCAAGCTCGTAAACTGACAACAAAAAAAATGGAAGCCTTCATCTGGATCACCTAATGCACTAAACTTCCTCTCAGACCCATATCACAAGAATATGGTTAAGCACTTCATTCTCACAGAAATAGCCCCACAATGACCTTACCAGGACAGCACATGTATGTGGTAACAGCAAGGAAAGGCTGGGTTTTAAAAGAAGAAAAACAGCATTCCATCATCAATACTTTTAATTGTCTTCTAAGTAGAAATTAAACGGAAGCATACTCACAAAGCTAAATTTAATCTTTGCATTAACACAAAGCTGATTATGTGAAAATATTTATATTGGCCATATTTTAAAATTATATATGCTTTATATAATATATATGCTTTACTTAAACCAATATATTTATTCTACTGCCACTACATGACCGTTTAAAGATAGCATAGTATTTTCATTAAAGTAAAATTTTAAAATACTCTATTGCTACTGCACCCTAAATACTAATCTTTAAAAAAAAAAAAGGGGAAAAAAGAATGAGAAATCTTTCTCTATTTTATTTAAAAATCATGCATAAGATGGCTGATAAGATTCTGTGAGCCAGTAGGAGTTATATCAAATGTGAAAGGAAAATGAGGCCCGGGGAGCTTAATCCATCCTCAATATTTATATTATCAATCAGAAATTGTTTTTGCAAGAAGATACCAAAAAGCCACACCAGACTCCCTACAAAGCCTCAAACACATGCCAGAAGACATAGTGCAAAACCTCAACTTCTCAGACTGGGTCATATTTTATCATATTTATCAGTGCTCTGTCACAGTGATACTTATCATGCCTACAACTGCATATAGCAAACCTAGCTGAATAAGAATGGCAAAAAACTCCCATTTCTTTAACAGAATTCAACTGCCTTGAATGATTTCACATAATGCCCGACATAAAAAGAAGTTACTGTGAACAGAACTACATTATGATAAACGATACTTTGGTTTTCTTGGTCTTCAGGAGGTTCCAGGACTTTCATGAATTCTAGATTCACATGAATTTCAACTCCTAGTATAAGTGCAACTTTGAAGAGGATAAGTTGAAGTTGTCGAATACCTGTAGACAGCAAGTAACAAAGATGTATTTAATATGTAAGTAATAACAGCTGCTACCAGCATGCCACCCAACTGATATTCACTGTTAGCACAAGCATGCAGCATTATTATTTCCCATACTGTGACGAATGCAAATGCTGCAACCACCACAGGATATTGTTCTCTTCCAGCACAGTCTCGTAGGTAATAAAACTCATTTCAGTGAGCTGCTTAGAATGCTTTTTTTAGAGCTTTCATTCTTAATGATATTTAAAGGATCTCCTAATCAACAAGTTCACCATTTTACGATAGAACATTTTACAGCATATTTCCCTGTAAACTATCCCACTTTTGCCTATTTTCTCATTAGATGAAGGGTTGTATCTACCTTCAACATACTAGAATGAATATCAATATTCTTCATACTTCATAATAAAAACCTATTGTTTAACAAATCCAGATTTACAAAAAAGCTGCTCCATAAGACTGTCATTTGTTCAACTGCCATTTTGCTTAAATGACACAATTTTTTTTTAATCTGTGTGCATGCACACACCCAGGCATGTTTAAGGCAGATGAGCTTCTTGCCAAATCAAGAAAGTCTCCATTAATCTTCTGACCTCGGTACACCTTTTATCTGAACAGTGCCCATGCCCTCAGATACATACTGATGTGATCAATAGATCCTGCACAGAATTTTCCATAAAATTTCTTTGCTCCCAGTCCCCGGAGGTCGTGGATTGTAAACGGCCAGAGATGCAACACATTGTTTCTTGAAAAAGTGTCCCGCTTCTCCACGACGACAACTTTGGCTCCCAGGAAGGCAAGTTCTATGGCAGTCCGCAAGCCACATGGGCCACCTCCAATGATTAAACACTAGCAGAGAAAAGAAGGAGTCTTACACAGGGTTTTGTATTGACTGCCACACAGTTTCTAACTTACTCTATTGGTACGGCTTGATATTCAGCCGGGCTTATGCTACTGAGAGTGTATTCAAGTCATCTATTTAAATCAAGAAACATTCAAATTTTGTTTGCATTGGTGTTCAGTCAATTTATACAAGAGGATATACTCTGCTTCCTGCAGACGTAAAAGCGTCTGATAAAAAGATGTGACAGAAGAAACAGCAAAACCCCAAACACTTGTGAGCATCTGTTTGTACATTTCTAATTCACACACATTTAGAATTTCAAAAGTGCTTGCAGTAAACGGGGTTACAGCTGCATAAAAGGGGGGGGGAAAGGAAATAAATGGTCTTGGTGTAGGCTTTTCTTGTTTTAAAGAGGAAGTCAGTGTACATTTGCCAGACTTGTTAGACAAATCTATGATAAGCCAGTAGTCTCACAGTGTTAGTTACTCTCTCTTCCAAGCGAGGGAGTATCCTGAAGGTAACAGCCTGGTTCACCTGCTGCTGTAAAACAGGGCACATCAAGAGAAGTCAGCAGACTTGTCCTGCTTCACCAGAGCCGGGAACTCATCCTGTCCTATTCCATTTCACCCAGTGGTCAACATGCTCACCTTCAGGACAATCAGATTTTAGGAGCTTAAATCTAAGTTTGGGCATCCTCAGACTAACCGCTTCAGAAATGATTACAGAGAATTCTTGCCCAAATTTTAGTTGACAGCTTTAAGTTTTCACAGACTAACAAGCAAAGGATTTCCAGAAAGCAAACTAATTAAAACCCAGACATATCTAATGCTTACTTTTCCCTGACTGATTACTAAAAACTGATTAGAAACAGCCTTCTAGCTGGACAACGTTGCTGTTCCACACCTCCCCCCCAAAACCCGCCCCCCAAAACCCCCCAGAGGCTTCACAAGACCTGTGCCACCAGTTCAAGCAGCCAGCTGAGGCAGGGAGGGAGGAGGTGGGCCCGAGCGGAGGGGAGCGCTCCGGCTGCGAGGCTGAGCTGTGCCGCGTTGCAAACCCAAACCCATTATCTCACACACCAGACACGCTCCTGTGTGTCCCGCACACATAGCCAGACAGTGATTACAGTTTCCAAGCAAGCACGGACTGTATCTGGAGGCTCACTGGATAAGAGTCTGGTTCCCATTACATTTCAATTTCATAAAACAGTCAGTCATTTATTTTGGTTTGTTCGTCATTTGTTTTCAACTTTAACAACTTAAGCAAAAATTATCTGGTGCTGACTTTTGTCCCTGACTTTTGTCCAACCTAACCGTAAAAGTGCAATTTTTTTTTTTTTTTAATTGACTAAATAAGTCAAATTCCCACTGAAGGAAGAGCTCCTGTGAGGTGCTTTTGCTGTGCTTTAGGCAAGTATTTTGTTAGCTAGAGTTATTAAGTAACTTAAAGTTAGGGTTGCATTAGCCACTTGGCTTTCTTCCTCGTAAAAGAACATATTTAATTCATAATTTCACAAGAACACTCTTCACTGCATGATAAATACTAAGAAAACATCAACATATGTAATTATATAAAGGAAGAAAATGGAGTGCAGATGTTACCCTGACTGAAGAGGATCACTGGAGGAGTCTGGGTCAGCCCTTTTCTGCACATGCTCGTTGTGATTAACATGGGAACTCTGACCTCTGACAAGAAAGCGACTGCCTTCACAGCTACACAGTTTTCCAGTAATGTTTAGCAAGCAGTTAGAAACATTTTACAAATAAAGACCATACATGGTTTGATAAGGTGGGGCCGTTTTTTTGGCTAACAAACTGTATTATATATAAATAAATGCAACTTTTTTAAAAAAACAGTCTTCTGAGATTTAGTCATAGTGGATCCTGCCAAGTAATAAAACCCACACAGAAAACAGTTCCTCCTGATGCTCTGCAACACAGTATGTTAAAATTTTAAGGAGGATTCTGCCCTCTCCCCTCCTATCACCATTGACAAAATATCTTCCTCATTGCCTAGAGACACTGAAAAATGGTTGTATATTCACTATCATCCATGGTTACCTTCCATAAACATATTTATCTATGTCTGAGAACTATTTGTTCTTTGATTTATTAAGGACGCTTCCTGCTGGTGTAGAGCTTACTCTTGGCACTTTGTCATGTTTTTTGAAACTTCTGGGGTCAAAACCAGCACAAAACCCTTGCAGAGGTAACTCTTACTGTGTTTATGTTCCTACCTTTATTAAGTAAGGAAAGGGACCGTACCACTGTCCTGTCCCTGCCCTCCCTCCCCAGCTCTCTGCTTGCAAACGAAGCCACAGGAGAAACTTTCTTGTAGTCAGCCTAGAACAAACCTTGAATGGCTTCCTAGTTTCACTTCCTGTTACCCCAGTCTCCTGGCTCACCAGGGGCTGCTTTTGAAATTAATTTCTTGCAATTTAACACAGGTCGTGACAACTGGCATCACATAAGGAAGCCTTGCACAATCACTCCTGAAATCTAACAAACAGGGTTGGACAAATGCCAGCAGTTTCTTGACATCCATATCGCCATTCACAGCTCAAATGTCTTTTAATGGTGCCAGACCATCTCCTAAAAAGGTAAAGGGTAACTTGACTTTTCAAAGCGTCTTCCGCAAATGAATCAAAGTAGCAGTTGCTGAAGAGGACTGACAAGGAGCTTTTGTCTCTCTCCTGTTCAGGCTGGAAACAAAGGGAGAAAGATTTGTACAGGTTACAGGGCAGCTTATCCAAGAATAAGATCACAACTAGACCTCTGAGACCTGCCTGAAGAATCAGTATCACGTTGGATGTTATGTCCTGTTTTACAACCAAGAGTATACCGTGTTAGTGCAAGACAGCTATACTGAGAGAAGGCATTTTTCTCAGTGAAAACCTCATAGTATAAAGGGCTGATCTGCTGCTTGCAAATGTACGTAAATACTTCCTGTCAAATGAGAAGCTTCATTAAATTTAATACACTCCCCAAGAACAGCACCTACATTACATCAAGACAGGAGCAGGCAAAAATACAGAAAGAATAAATGAGGAGGGAGAAAACACCACATTTACGCATTCATGTGGCAGATTTTGGGTATCCTGCACCAAACTCCAGCTATGCAGTGACAGCTATGCAGTAACCAAACTCCAGCTGCAGTAACATACATCAAATTTCCTGCACCAAACTCCAGCTATGCAGTAACTGAAGAGACTGCCCATAAAGGCTAACTCCTACAAGCAGCGATCACCACGAGTACTTTTCATGAGAACTTTATGTGAGCTAAATTCATCTACTCTTCTTGCAAATATACTGGATATGAATGCTACTAATTGTCCATTAGCATAAATGCATCGATGAAAATTTTACAGTTATGATATAAATTATAAGTAAATGGACACGCTGGTTTGAGTTAAACTTCAGCAAGAGCATTTTTAGAATACCGGTTATAAAATTCCCATTAAAGAGGACTGATGCAAGTTTCCAGGACAGTAATAGTTACCTAGTGACAATTAGGACTATTTCAATTTAAAATTATAAATATTAATTAAAGCATGGAAATTTTTGTACTTCAAAATAAAACACTAATAAGCCCATGCATACTTTGTAAAAGTTGAATACGTAAGCTGCTGAGTAAATATTATGTTTCTACGGTACTGCTACAAAGTACCATACTTTTCCCTAAAAGATAATTATTTGTTTCTGTATAAATCTTGTCCCACACTATAACCAAGGGCACGCTACTCATTGCATTATTTATCTTCAGACTGAAATAGAGCAGAAACATCGTGGGGTTTTTTCCCAGTACAATTAAAAGATATCAGAAAGTTTCACTTGTAATAATATAAACATACGCAGCATTTGGTAAGTCTCAGAAGCTTGATTCTACTCAAAGGTTGATCTGACTGTAAGAGATACTACTTTCTTTCTATAAGTATGTTTAAGGACAGTAGTGCCTTGAAAATCTCCAGAAAGTGTTCCTACGCTGAAAAAGAGCACTTAGTGCTGAGCTAAATGGCAGCAAATGGCACTTTTGTGCCAGGTGCAGATTTTCAATACGATCTCCTCTATATAATATGCAAATATATGACTTACAAAATAGGAGGAGAGGAAAGGGAGAGAGGGATGCGAAGTAGAGGCCTCTTGCAAGCCCTCCCATCCCCCACTATGAAATCTGCAGCCTGTGAATCCAGGCACCTATATCCCATTCTGGAAAAACCGTATGCAGTTTAACAGCTGAGAATTTGCAGAATGCCTCCATTGGTTTTCACACAGTAAAGTAAGCTTACAGAAACAACTGAGGTTTAGAGAGAAAGGAGGGAGAGAACAAGAATACAAGCACTGTGTTTAGCAAAAAACAAAATAACACTCCACAATGACCTAGTCACACAAATCTCATCCACTTTAATAATTGAAAGGCGTAAGCTACTCATTTACCTTGAAAAAGGTAAAAAACCAGCTCTCGGCATTTACATGCTCACCGTCAAAGAATCTCCCATTTTGTAGTAGCACGTGTGTGTGGGATGCAACGAAACAGCATCTCTTTGCGCAGTTAAGAATAGACAAATCCCATCGTAGCTCAATACATTACACTGTTAGCGTCCAACTCTAAATCCCTGACTCCTCTCCTGCCCAAGGTACCACACCATTAAATTAGTCCTGGAAAATAAAAGTCTGTTCAGTTATGATCCACCCCCGATATGTTCTTGGGATGAAGACAGAAGCTACAATCACTCCAGGAATTCGATTTTCCCATTTCTGCCTTTCAGTGGTTTTGGAGGTGAAAAAGAGAAGATTAATTTTAGACTCCAGCTCAACAGCAACTGGATAGACACAGAGACACTCTTCGCTGCCCTAAGGTGCGCCAATTCAGAAGCACCACTTCTACTCTTCAGTGAAAATGCACACATACACTAGTGAAAAACTAGTGAAAACCATCTGCCTAAATTATTTAGCTTCCTTTAGCTTATATGTAGTATTTATCCAAATCAGCAATTGGAAATCAAAAC